TATCTTTCAGCTCTGCGAGAGGTGGGTGTTAGTGAAGTGTGAAATTGACGAAAAATGAAGCCCCCTTGTCTCGAACCCTCGACCATTCCTTGCACAGTAGGACGTAGCCACTACAACTTCTAGTATTCACGTAACAAAATGGATAAACAATAATTTAGTGGTGTGACAAAATGGATAAATACACTTAATGTTTTTTTTTGAGACAATCTCGCGAAGCTTTATTTAGATCAAAACGATGTTCATGGGTACAAAAGAGAGATCACCGGGGTGCCCTAACCAAACATGGCGGCCCACCCCTAAATTTGAACAATGCTTCGCTAGATTGTGAGCCTCGAAATTCGAGCTCCTAAACTCATGCACAAAGCTACATCTACTTAAAGAAGAGCTCTGATCTATTATTTCATGTAAGATCGCCCCATAGCTTACTGGGTTCCTTTGCTTAATATCATCTACCACCGTTCTGCAATCCGAAGCTACATGTGCACTTTGTATATTAAGATCTGCAGCAAGTGCCAATGCTTCCCGAATAGCCAGAGCCTCAACAGTCGGAGGATCAAAACTTCCTTTCACCACTAATGCTGATGCTCCCTGAATGCATCCATTTTGGTCATGACATATCGTTGCTGCTATGCCGCGACTCCGGCTCTGGGGAACTGCAGCGTCGACATTGAACTTGAACATTCCGTCTGGAGGTTTGAGCCACTGGTTCGGTCTGCTTTGTCGCCGTTCTGGAGGCTTGTTTCCTGTCTCCTCAAGTGTGTCAAGATCCCTCAGATAGGCTTTAATAAACTGATGTGTGGAGTCTGGACTTTCAAAGATACCTTCATATATTGCCTTACGTCTCGCCTTCCATGCCGACCAGAGAGTTACAACCAAAGGCACAAAATCCCTTTGTGGTAGTTGATCATGCATTGCAAAGAGCCAATTCTGAGCATTCGTATCTGTGTTCATGCTAACTCTTTCAACCAAAGAAACCTCTGACAAAGACCAAATACATCGTGACATGGTGCAATCAAAAAGAGTGTGCCTCCATGAGTCGGCACAGCCACAGAGCGCACAAAGGTGTGTGGTCGCCATGTTGCGATGATGCAGTACATCCATGGATGGCATGGAATGTTGCGCAAGTCTCCATAAGAACACCCTCAGTTTCGTTGGGACTTTAATGTGCCATAGATCATTCCATGCTTTTCCTCTTGCAGTAAAGTCAGATGCTCCAGCATGTTCCTCTATCCAGTTCTCTCTATGGAATTTTTGTTCATGACCATCCGGTAGCATGATCTTACTGTGAATCTCCCGCTCCTCTCGGCCTCCCAGGCCCAAAAATCATCAATTACCCTGGTGCACAACGGGATGGACATAATGGCGTCAGCATCAAAAGGTATAAAATTTGCTCTTATCAAATCTTCTCTCCATGTTGCTGTCGTTGCATCAATCAGTTCAGAGACAAACACCGGAGGATTATCTGATCTAGATATTATGGGGCGCAACGGACCAGCCCTAGGTATCCAGTTTGTCTCCCAAATATTTATAGTACTTCCATCCGAATAAGTCCTTGCCTTAATACATCTCTTCCATCAATCACAGCTCACCAAATTTGCGAGGGGCGGTTCCCCAACTCTGCTTCCAAGAAACCGCAAGTTGGGAAGTATGCAGCTTTTAATATTTTTGCACTTAAAGAGTTCGGATCATCCAGAATCCTCCAAGCTTGACGGGCCAACAAAGCAAGGTTGAAAATTTCTATGTCTCTAAAACCCATACCTCCCATGTATTTTGGTTGAGTCATCACATCCCATGCTACCCACGCTTGCTTCCTCCTTCCTTGCTTACTTCCCCACCAAAATTGCCTAATTATTGAGGTAATATTTTCACACAAACCTCGGGGTAACCTGAAACAAGCCATAGAATAAACTAGGATAGCTTGGGCCACTGACTTGATAAGTACCTCCTTGCCTGCTGCAGACAACAATTTCTCCATCCACCCTCTGACTTTCTCCCATACTCTGTCTCTCAAATATTTGAACGTGCCCATTTTTGATTGACCCACATCAGTAGGCATCCCAAGGTATTTCTCACTCAAAGACTCATTGTGCACGTTCAAAGTTTGTTTTATGTTATCCCTCATCACCTGAGGACAACCCTTGCTGAAAAAAATGGAAGATTTTTCATTATTTATCTGTTGCCCCGAGGCTTTGCAATAAGTCTCCAATAGGTTTGACACCGTCACAGCTCCCTCAACACTTAATGTAGCGGAACAAACATGCTTGTGGAGCTGAAATGGACTGTGATGAGTGCGGATGCGGCTCATTTGCACCTGTTTTTTTAGAACTTTTTAAAAGGTATGTAAATTATGATCTCAGTAATAAAAATAACATTTAATTATTCATGTCGTATAAATATTATACATACAAACTAAATAACTTACGTTTCAGAATTGTTCACGTATTATTTTAAAAATATTAATATATTTAAAATGATATTCATGAATTCTTATTTTTTGGATAATTAATAACAAATCAAGTATTTTAACATTACAATTCCAAAGTATTTTCTAATCATACAAACATGTCAATAATTATGTGCACATTTTAATAGTTCAATGTTCGTAAAAATAAATATTCATAATTTAAATTTAAAAATTCACATGAATATTCATTCATGGGTAATGTTTAAATTATATAATATTTTTTAATATAAATCACGAGTGAAAATTATACCACATGGATGTTTTTATTCATCATTTTGTATAATTTAAATATAAGTTACAAGTGTATATTTTCTGTATCAATTAAATATTTTACTTCATAAATATTTAAATGTCCGTATTTACCAAACATTTTTATAATACATGTGTGTATATTTAAATAATTTTATTTACTAATCATTAATATGCACATTATTTTTATTACTTATGTTTTACAAAAGTATTAAAAAGTCAGTGCGTGCAAAATGTGCCGCCCTATTTACAGCTCATAGAAGTCCCAGACGCCTCCTCCTTGTACTACATTAAGGACTGTTATCAGTGTTTCTCAATGCAAACATGAATGGTGCAGTTGTTTGGACGGCTAGCTATACAACAGTTGGTCTTGAGTTCGAGACGCGAAGGCGTTTGATCTATTTTTGTTTTCACATATTGACAGGTGGGGCCCATGTGTCATGGAGTCAAAATGAAATGGCAACTGCCGTGTTGTTAGGGGCTTTCTGTAAGAAATAAAACTTTTTGAGGGTGTTTTCGCAAAAAAGGCCACAAACCTACTCTACGCCTTCCCGTTATTGACAGTGGGCCCTATGCCATGCTGGCGCGCCAAGTCAGCATCGATTTTGTACCCAAGTGTGATTAGCACCGTATTTGCACGTCCGAGCCAAGTTGTTGCACCAGTTCATTGTATGCCGCAAGTTCTAGCACCAAAGTGACCATTTGTGCCAAGTTTAAG